TGAAAGCGAGACACAAACTCTCGCAACATCTCATTTTCTCTTTGTTTAATTTTGAAGACGTCAGATTTCCTTGTAGCCATCTTGATGGCACCGGCATGTGCCTTTATGAAAACATCTGCCAGCATGGCAAATGAGTTTATTTAATTCGGGGCAAGGTTGTGGTACCACATCATGGCCCCCTTTGAAAGTGTTTCTCCGAACCTTTTCAGTAGGACGGACTCAATCTCGTCGTCCTTTAGGTCGTTGCCCTTCACAGCACAAGTGTAAGCGGTGATGTGCTCGTTGGGGTCCGAGGTTCCGTTGTATTTCAGAAGATCGGATTCTGAACTTCTTCGGGATGGGTTTTGGAGTAGCATCTTGTGGGGAATGGCTTTTGTACGAACTTCTTCGAATCTACACCCTTCAGGATCGGGGTGCGCCCGGAATTTGATCGACCCTAGATCGTAAGTCTCCACCTTTTTGTCATTGGCTACTATCTTTTTCTCGCCCGATTCAATCCTCTTCGTGAGGTCCTCGAGCATCTTTATGATAGCAGGATCGGCTGCTGACCCGTTGTTGCTTGATCTTTCTGGTATTTGTTCGGCTCGAGGAGCCGCCTCTGGTGTTGCTGTGCTTGGAGTTTTTTGGTGGCTTTGTAGTTGATCAATCGCCGGCTTTTGTGCCTGCAACATCTCAAAAATGACATGAAGGCTAACCTCTCGCTCTTCCCGAGCCAGGGTTTTCTGAGCTTCTTGTTGGTTCTCTTGGCGTATACTGTATACGGTAAAAATCAGAGGGTCCTATTTTATGGCCACTATGATGCTTCTCAAGCACGTCTCCAAAGGCTCGAGGCATGGCTCGAGGTTCGACCCCGAGGGTTCTCAATGTTCGACCACGGGGCAGTGTAGATCGATGGTTATGATGACTAAACGGGAAGTTCCCAAGGCACTTGATTAAAGCTCACCAAGTCTAGTAAGCTAGTACAAGCCCGTACCGTGGCATTAAATGGTTGTATGAGCCGCGTATCTTTGTAATAAATGCATCTGTATCATGTTGGGATTTCCCCTCATATATAAAAGGGATCCTTGTCATTTTGTAAGGGGGATATAACACACTACATTGAATACAAGAACAAGAACATTCTCTGCTCTCTAACTTAAACATATTCTCTTTTGATCTTATTACTTGCATCTATTGCTTATATTTATTGTATATTCATTGATTGTTCTTCATTTATTGCTCATTATTGATCATAAAGAGCCCTCATCAAGGCCTTTTAGAACTGTTGGTTCTCCGCCGACTGTTCACAGCCTAACGTATAGCTCGACCTCGAGGCCCCGTATCAGCCAGCTCGAGGCCCCGATTCTTAACCACTCGATTTGCTCGATACGTTATCTTCAAGCTCTTATCTTATTTTCTAGTCTCTCACTTAGTACCCATTGCTTAACAAACTAGCATAAAAATAAATCACGTATTTTTAGAACCACAAAATCAAATCTAATTGTAATTACCATTTTCAAGGTAAACATATACTCATGTTGGTATGGGAGCTTATATCGACATGTTGGGCGTTGCGCGAGGCCACGTCCACGGGAATTGGTTCTGGTGCATCCTCAGGGTTTCGTGGTGGTACACCAATACCTGGAACAGCTACACCATTCTTTCCATGGTCCTCAGGACCGTTGTCGTCCTGTGCATTCACCGAGTTTGACATTTTGACCTGAAATCAAAGATTCTTGGACAAGAAAAAGGGTGAAAGATAACTTGCGTTATGTAGTAAAACAGCAGGAAAACAATCACTATTATTTTTAGCCCCACTGTGGGCGCCAAACTGTTTACCTTGAAAATGGTAATTACAATTAGATTTGATTTTGTGGTTCTAAAAATACGTGATTTATTTTTATGCTAGTTTGTTAAGCAATGGATGCTAAGCGAGAGACTAGAAAATATGATAAGAGCTTGAAGATAATGTATTGAGCAAAACGAGTGGCTAAGAATCGGGGCCTCGATGTCGAGCTAGGCGTTAGGCTTTTGTGCAGTCGGTGGAGAGCTAACAATTCTAAGGGCCTTGATGAGGGCTCTTTATGATCAATAATGAGTAGTAAATGAAGAACAATCAATGAAATACAATAAATGTAAATAATAAGATCAAAGGAGAATATGTTTAAGTTAGAGAGCAGAGAATGTTCTTCTTCTTCTTGTATTCAATGTTGTGTGTTGTATATCTTACAAAATGACAAGGATCCCCTTTTTATATGAGGGAAAATTCCAACATGGTACATATGCATTTATTACAAAGAAATATAGCCGGTATAGCTATTCGCTAGTTTGGTACATACTAGTGCTTCTCTTGCAGGTTTTGTTAGCTTTGATCACGCGCCTTGGGAACTTCCCGCTACCCCATGATAATCATCGATTTGCACTGCCCCGAGGTCGAACGTTGGGAACCCTCGGGGTCGAACCTCGAGCCATGCCTCTAGCCTTTGGGGATGTGCTTTCGAAGCGTTACAACGGCCAGAAAATCGGGCCTTCTGATTTTTACCGTATACTGTGGACAAGTAAAAGTGAACGGAGGGAGTAGGCCGTAAGGAATAAACTATATGTTAGCATGTTTGGTCAAGCTTCTAAAATCAGCTTATATAGAAAAATATGTTTCAAAAAAGTATTTATGGTGAGAAACACTTTGGGTTTGGCTACTTAATTTTAAAAGAGAAACTTTCAGAAACCACTATGTTTTAGTGGTTATTAGCTAGTTTTAGCTACCATTTACTATGTTACTTCCTCTAGCTATATTTTTCAGATTTTTTAGAGTGTATTTGATGTATTTAAGCTACTGTATTCATGACTACAGTAGCATTTCTAGGCGTGAAATAGAGGATTACAGCTAGACATATTTTTGTATTCGAGTGTATTCGACTGTATTCATGGCGTGAAACATGGGATTACAACTGGACAGATTATTGTATTCGACTGTATTCACTGTGTGAAACAGGGGATTACACTATTTTTAAGCGGAAAGTGAATCAATTAACATAATAGACTCCTAATATAACTCAATTATAACACACAAAAAGAAAAAATTTTGTATTTCCACTTATAAAAAAGATTCTCAACCGAAAAACACTCCAAAAATATAGCAATCTTCAGAGAAATTATATATTACATCTGAATACATAAATTATACTCCATCCGTTCCAATTTATGTGAACCTGTTTGACTGGGCACGGAGTTTAAGAAAAATTGAAAACTTTTGGAATTTGTGGTTCTAAACAAGTTAAAAAGGGGTTCAGAGTATTTGTGTGGTTATAAAAGCTTCTCATTAAGGGTAGAATTGTACGTTTAAGCGAAATGGTTACCAAATTTAGAAAAGGGTCATTCTTTTTGGAATGGACCAAAAAGGAAATAGGTTCACATAAACTGGAACAGAGGGAGTATTAATTAAAAAAATATTTGAATACATTCATGGAATACAACGAGACAGTGAATAAAATGAAATACATGGAATACAGCGAGATACACTGAAATACAATGAAAAAAAAGACAATTAATATAATGAAATACATGGAAATACGGCGAGATACATTGAAATATATTAACAGAAATTCAAGTTGCTCAGCCCCAAACTCCGTCGTCTTTGTTCAAGAACAACCTTAATATCGTCTCAGCGGATGGAAATAACAATTCCGTCGGTATAGGAACCTCAATTTTCACTTTCTTCTTATCTACCACATCGTCCTCGCCGCCAACAATTTTCCTCAAAACATGAACCTGAATTTTCATTTTGTTTCCATCCATAATTAACGGTGCTGCCATCCAGAAATCCATTAGAATTCACCATTACCATACAAATTATTAAGAAGATTTTTATCTACTTAAGCCCGAAGAGAAGTCCTGGATTGATTCTTTCTCCAAAAATTAGGTCGAATAATATATGGTTCTCTTCAAATTGAGGTACAGACCAATCCTGCCACATACTTCAAGATGTAACAGGAGCAGATTCGCTAACAGGAATCAGCCGGAGTTTTCATCATCATAAACTTCAAAACTTTGCAGTTCAAATCCACGGCAAAGAGATGAGATTCGAAACTATACAAACAAAAATATCTTTGAGAAGCTCTGTAAAATTAAGATGAAGGTGGAAGATGAGAGAGAGAGAGAGGGAGAATATATATGGGGTAGGGGATACGAGAAATTTGAGGGGATAGGAGAAATTTGAGTGGAGAGAGAAAAATAATACAAATCTTATTTTATGGCTTAAGGATATGAGATAACCATAAATAGATATTTGGTTATAAAAAAATCAAAAGGTAGCTATGGAATATAATTTTTTAAAAGGGTATTTATTTAAAATAAATAAGGTATCAACCTTTGCTATAGGAGGTAACTAATCCATTTGAAAAATACTTCAGAGCAGCAAATAGTGTTTGATCAAGCTTTTAAAAAATACTTTTAAGTGTATTTTTTAAAATTGTTTTTGAAGAAAGCGTTTTGGGAAAATTTACGTTTTTTTTTTCCTCAAAAATATTTCTACTTCTACTCAAAAATATTTTTTTTCTTTTAAAATTTTGGCCCCAAAAAAATTTGGCTAAACATGTTAATAACACCTTTGAATCAACCTTCGGGGCCCGGAAGATTTAACATATATAGCACTCTTCTTTGAGAAATTATTTAGTTGTAGTAATATATTATCTCTTCATCAATTACTTGAAAAATTCAAAGTAGAATTAATATTTTTTCAAAATAAATGCATAGTCAAAAAGTTATACGTAAAAAAGATTGAGAATGATTTGAAAATAAATTAATTTCGCTATCTAAACGTAAATTTATGAACCTTTTACAAAAAGACGGAAGTAGAATTGCACACAATATCCTCATTGCTACTCGTCGAATTAGGTAATGGGCCAACTAGATTTATCCAGAGATAGGAGAAACGAACGAGATTTATCCAGAAACTTCTGGACATCTGCATGTCTTCCTTGGGTTAGAGAAATACCGAAGCGGAAAGAAATATCGGGAATCTACTTGACTCTCCTCTACGCACACCTATAAATACCCATCGGCTCCTCCTCCTAGAACCAGGGTAGTTGAAAGCAAATTGAGAAAAGAGTTATAACAAAATTTGCTGAAAATGTCACTGATTCCAAGAATGTTCGGCGATCGACGAAGCATCGTCTTCGATCCATTCTCAATTGACGTGTGGGATCCCTTCAGGGAATTGGGCTTTCCAGGCTCCAATTCACGGGAGACCTCTGCATTCGCTAACACACGAGTCGATTGGAAGGAAACTCCTGAAGCACATGTGTTTAAGGCCGATCTTCCTGGTCTTAAGAAGGAGGAAGTGAAAGTGGAGATTGAAGACGATAGGGTTCTTCAGATTAGCGGAGAGAGGAATGTGGAGAAAGAAGATAAGAATGATACTTGGCACCGTGTGGAACGCAGCAGCGGCAAATTCATGAGAAGATTCAGGCTCCCGGAGAATGCGAGAATGGATAAAGTTAAGGCGGCGATGGAGAATGGAGTGCTGACTGTTACTGTTCCGAAAGAAGAGGTGAAGAAGCCTGATGTCAAATCCATTGAGATCACTGGTTAGGCGCTATAATTTAGAATAAAGATATGTAGACATCCTATCAAGTACTCTAGAGAATATGGGCAAGTATGAATGAAGAATATAGGTGTGTATTGTTGAGGATTGGAAGTTGCTCTGTTTCTGTATCTTGTCCTAATGCCGCGTTTGATGTATTTCCGTAAAAATTTTATGTGGAAAATGTAATAGTAATGTAGTTTTATTAAAATTGTTTCTGCGCGTACCTCCCATATTCTTTTTCTTGTTCTTCTTTTGTTTTTCTTTCTAAATAGCATACAAAGTTAGAAGATTAAAGTTTTCGCCATTTAATTTTCAAAAAACTGCGACATTGAACAAGAATTCTGTTAACCAGTTGACGATATTTCGACATTGAAAGTTTGAAACCCATTAGGATCGATATTATCCTTTTATTGGGAGACAAGAAACTGTAATACATACTGTAATACTAACTTGAAAATCTGAGCTTCTGGAGTTGCTCTTCTCAGCTAGTTTCAGACTAATATTGATGGTACTTGTATTTTACGAACACATTTGTCACTTGTTTATGTGATTATCATTTAACGAATTATTTGTTCACTTTGAGTAGGTAGTGCAAAATTTCATCCAACCTTGATTATAATGTCCTTACTCCTTATAATTCAAGAGCAGGGAGAGGTTACTATCTAATCATGTTTATAGAGTCGTTTAGTCTTTAATTAGAGCCACTAGCTGTATGCCATGTCCCTCTAACTAATACGCCTCGAAAGAAATCAAAGACTGCCTTTGGCGACTAAAAACAAACATATATAGCATTCCCTAATTTGACAAATGATTTTTCACATCGGCAAGTCCCACATTTGGGATACGTACAGTATTTGACAAATTTAATATAGTTGTACAGGTAATATATATCTCTTTCATTTATGGTTATCATATTTCATGTTGTAGTTGCTACTTCGTCAAGTAATTGGAAGAATTGAACGTAGAACTTAAAATTTTTAAAAGTACATGTATAACACAAAAATAGTTGGGAATACTTTGAATAAATTAAATTTTACCATTAATAGACTAATTTTATCATTTTTTAAGAATAAGACGGAATAGAATTGAGATAACCTCATGAAAAATTCAAGCAACTAAGTATAATGTATCCTTCCTTCCAACTCTTTATATTTTCCATGCAGTATGGAAACTTATAAGAGGAGTACTTAAAAATAACCGAGTTTAGAAGTAAAAAAAAAAAAAACGAGTAGAAATTTATACTACTCCATCAAATATACGGAGCACCATAAGATGACCTAATCCGCAGGAAAATTGTTGAGACAATGTCCTAAGCCGAATAATGCTAATGGCGGACCAAACTTTTTGCAAGGTTGTGATTCGTCTTACACTTCTCCTTAACTAACCCACTCTTTCTAGAAGCTACTATCCTCATCGCCATTCTATAAATAGCAAATATTATTGCAGGACTTTCAGTTAATTAACAGCGATAAAAACATAACGTAATAAGTTAACTGCAGTACTTTAACAAGCTCAAAAATGTCAATGATTCCACATCACTATAGTGGAAGAAGGGGTGGAGGCATTTTCGATCCCTTCTCATTAGAGGTATGGGATCCATTCAAGGACTTCAATCGCCACGGCCTCTCACCAATGCATCATAATTCTGAGCTAATGAGGGACGCATCTTCTTCATTTGTGAACACTTGTATCGACTGGAGAGAAACTCCAGAAGCTCACATTTTCAAAGCGGACGTTCCAGGGCTGAAAAAGGAAGAAGTGAAGGTTGAAGTTGAAGAGGACCGGGTTCTTCATATAAGCGGCGAAAGGAGCAGAGAATTGGAGGAGCATAATGATATGTGGCACCGTGTCGAACGGAGTAGTGGTAAGTTTATGAGACGATTTAGGCTGCCGGAAAATGCCAAGATAGGTCAAATTAAGGCTTCAATGGAACATGGTGTTTTGACTGTTGTTGTCCCGAAAGAAGAAGCTAAGAAACGTGATATAAAATCTATTCAAATCTCTGGCTGAATTATTCAACCAATTTTATGCTAGCATCGATTTAGTGAATAGTACTGTTTCATTAATGTTATTGAGAAAGAGAGAGAGGATTGATCATCTTGATATCTGTCAAGTCATATTGTGATGGAGTAATAAAGTAGTGATCCTGTTAGTCTCAAGCGTGTAACTTGTAGCTTTATTTCTTGTGACACAAAGTTTATTGTATTCGAAATAATCTTTGCATTCCCATAATAAAAGTCTGGACTAGGGGGTTAAAAGATAAATTGGCACTGCCACGTTAACGATTAAAGCTCATGCTAATATTATACTCTATGTAACACACACATAAGTAAGAACTTTAATATATTTTTTATTGTGGAAGATTCATCATAGAAGATTAATTTACACTGCATGCCAGCCTACATGCACAATCTTCTCACTATTTGGGTTTGAGACCGGGTAACGCGGAGGACAATTGATATAGATGAAAACATTTCCTATGTAATTCATAAAAAATAAGATGAACACTATTTTGCACTAATATCATGTTGGAATGAGCTCCTGCGTCACAGACGCCATGTTTACAGAGAGAAGAAAGAGGGTGAAAAGAACAAGGAGCGGGAACTACACTTTGATCTTATTAAAGACAAGTTTGGTTGTATTGACCAAAGTCTTCTATCCCTTACTACAACAAGATATCCTAGCCGTTCATCATTACTAAAGTCACCAGATCAGGCCTTTGATTTAATACAGCTGTAACACTTAGACACTACTTCTAGATGACTCCTTATACGTGTGAGCATGTGAAGGAAAATGTATTTTTTTATTCTTTTTGTATATTCTGATTAGGCTGTTAGAATAGTACAAATTAGAGTAGTACACGTAGCCTAAGATAACAAATTTTGATTCCTTCTTTTTGTATAAATACACGCGCAACTGATAATAAAATTACACAAAAAATTTGCACAACACTGGTTTCTTCCTATTCTTAGAGCAATAAGCTTGATCCTTCAATCTTTCATCTCTGCTTCTCTTCATTTTTTCGGTGCCAATCTTCAATCATGCCATATACCACTGAGACCGGCTTGGTTCAACCTATTTCTGGTGGATCTACAATAATTGATCCGAATCATGCTTACTTCCTCCATTCATCTGATGCACCATGGATGACCCTCATCAATACTCCTTTGAGGGCAAGGGATTTTAAGGGTGGAGAAGATCAATGCTGATAGCACTTTCAACAAAGAATAAAATAGGATTTATTAATGGAGCTTGTCCTCCACCTGTTGTCACTTCTAAGGAATACCGGCCATGGAGCAGCAGATGCAACGACATGGTGACTTCATGGCTGCTAAACTCACTGTCCAAAGATATTGGGGACAATGTGATCTAATCAAAATCAGCTAAGGATCTCTGGACTAGCCTGGAGCACATGTTTGGACAATCCAATGGAGCTAAACTTTATCGCCTGAGGAAAGAATTACCAGGAGTAACACGAGGAACAAATGATGTAGCAACTTACTTCACAAAGCTCAAACGATTGTGGGATGAATTAGATTCACTCAACTGTGATGTAAAATGCAAATGGCTTTGTGTTTGTGAAGGAAAACAAAAATTGGAGAAATCATTAGATAATGAGAGGTTAATTCAATTCCTTATGGGATTAAATGATGGGTATGGACAGGCAAGAGGAACCATTTTGATGATGAACCCTTTACCAAAGATCAACCATGCTTATTCACTTGTTTTGCAATATGAAAATCAGAGAGAAGTTTATACTAATCCTTTTATTTCTACTAATTCTTCTTCTTTCATGTTAGCAAATCAAAACAACTTTGCAGGCATGCAAATTTTTCATAATAGAATGGGAAGCAGACACAAAGAACCTATGGACGGTACCAAAAATATGGAAATAACTTCCAAAAGGCAACAAACACATCACAGAAAAGTTCAGCTTTTATAGAAAAGAAAACCAAATTCAACCCAAATGTGTCTTGTACCCACTGCAAAAAGGTAGGACACACTGTGAATAATTGCTACAAAATCATAGGTTTTCCAGAAGACTCTGAATTCACTAAAGGAAATCAAATACAAGTGAAGGGCAATGAGGCTTTCTCAATGGAACAGGGAGATGACAATAACAACAACTATAATGAGGCCATTACCCAGCACATTTCAAAGGATCAATTCAGTCATCTAGTCCAACTGATCAAACAAGTTAAGGTGGCAGAATATGGGACAAAGATCAATGCAAATGCAGTGGCTGATACTATCAATAAGTATTATGGTTTGTGTTTTTCAATTTACAATTCTAGCACATGGATAATTGATTCAGGAGCCTTAGAATACACGTGTTTTGATTCAAATGCCTTTACATCTTTGTCACCACTCCCTGCCCTTTGCATATAAATCTGCCAAATTATTTCATAGTTACTGTGACTCACATGAGGTATATCCATTCTTCCTGATTTCATCTGAGAGAATGTGTTGCATATGCCTAGTTTCAGATATAACTTACTAACAAGTTCTATTTTCAATTTCACTCTATTCTCTTTTTCACTTCTGATAAATGTATGTTGCAGGACCATTTAATAAAGAGGGCTCAAGTTTTTGGTGAAGCAAGAGAAGGATTATACCTCTTGGAGCCTAGTAGAGTTAGGACTTCTTGAGAAGAAAAAGTAGTTTCATCATTAAATCTATTTTTAGCCAGTTTTCAGCATGGTTTCCATTTTCTACAAGTGTAATTTCTGATGTAAAATTTTGGCACATTAGATTGGGGCACAGATTTATATGTAAAGGGATAGTGAGTGGTGACAAAGACATAAAGGCATAGTTCATCAAACATCTTGTGTGGCTACCTCTCAACAAAGTGGGATAGTTGAGAGGAAGCACAAGCATCTTTTGGAGATTGCTAGAGCTTTGTTTTTCAATCTAAGCTTCCTATTCCTTATCGGGGAGAATGCTTGCTAACAACCACATTTTTAATCAACAGGTTACCTTCTAAAGTGCTTAAAGGGAAATCACCTTACTTTGTTTTATACAAACAGGTGCCTACTTATGAATCACTAAGGAATTTTGGGTGTATTTGCTATGCATCTACTCTATCTAGTGGAAGAGGTAAATTTGAGCCAAGGGCAAAGGCATGTGTGTTTCTAGGCTATCCTATGGGACAAAAGGGATACAAAGTCATGGATTTGGAGACTAAGAAAATCTCAGTCTTAAGAGATGTTCACTTCCATGAAGATTAGTACCCCTTTGCATCACTCAACCACTCTCCAAAACTAATCTTTCTTATTCCTCTAGCTAATGACAACTCTGTCACTCCTTCACCATCTTCTGATTTACCAGAACCTCTGGCCTCTTCCCCTAACTCTTCTTCACCTTACAAATCACACTCTCATTCTCGTTCACCTCAGAGATCACCCTCCCTTTCTCCTATCCCATCACTTAGACCTCAACCAGTCTAGAGAACACCTTCTCACTCACCTATTCCTTCAACCTCTACCTCACCAATGACTGTTTCAATTCTTGAGCCTAGAAAGTCCTTTAGAACACATAATGCACCATGCTATCTTAATGATTATGTTTGCAATTCTGTCTATCTAACTGATCTCACTAACTCTTGCTTCTCTGCATCAGTTGACCTACATGTTTTGCCTTTCAAATCTCTCTCTCTTTCTAATCAGTCTTTGATAAACTCCAGTTCCTAACTAACTGAACCCACCTCTTACTCACAAGCTACTTTGCACCCTCGGTGGCAAGAGGCAATGGCCAAGGGGTTTGAAGCACTTGAGGTTAACCAAACCTCGGAGGTTGTACCTCTGCCCAAAGGCAAGAAAGCACTTCTTTGTAAATGGGCTTGCAGGGTCAAGTAAAAATCAGATGGTTCCTTGGAAAGGTTCAAGGCTGTCACGACCCAATTTCTCTCCGTAAGATGTCGTGATGGCACCTAGTTTTTAAGACTAGGTAAGCCTAACGCTTACTGAATTAATGATAAAATTTAACCAACAACTGTTAAATATGAAACAGAAATTTCTATATAAGCCAACAATCCCAACATGATATACAACATCCCAAAATCGGTAATATAAGTCATAAGCTCTACTGAGTTTACTAGGAAAATCTCTAACTACAACTGTTTGGAATAGAATTAAACAGTACAAGTACAATATTAGAAGGTGACTCCGAAGCTTGCGAACGCGACGGCAGGTATACCTTGAGTCTCCACAGCAAAGCCCGAACAACTAGCTAGTGATCAACCAACTCCGAAGTACTTGGATCTGCACAAAAATATGCCGAAAGTGTAACATGAGTACACCACAGCGGTACCTAGTAAATATCAAGACTAACTTCGGTTGAGTAGTGACGAGGGACAGTGAAGACACCTACTAGACTTAACGACATGTACAAGTATGAATGTGAAACTAATAGGGAAACAATGTCAATATAAAGCTAAGCATGGTAAAGATAACAAAACAATACTCGAAATAGAGCACTAGAAACAACAATTAGCAACAGGGAACAAATAGGTTATAATGCCGTAGAGTAAGCTGAACACAGTTTAAGTCCGGTGAAACTAAGTAAAGAGAACAAGTAACAACTCAATAAGAGCAACCACTTTCACATAATATTTGTTCAAGAATTTCCCTGAAGTACTTCACCTCATAGTCACAATTCACAGGTCCCAATTCATGAACCCTAATCACTTGGCATCTTGTGCCCACATTACAATTCCAAATCGCACGGACGACTCACGTGCTAAGGGAGTGACAATATCTCATATCCACACGGACAACTCATGTTCCAAGAATAACAATGATTCATGACTGCACGGACAACTCACGTGCCAATAGAACAACTCTCACACAGAAGGCAAGTCAACGAAAGTACATGTTATCGGTCAATAACATCAGGATTCATCTTCTTAAAATGATATGGGTGATTAATTACATGTATGCTTGTGTAAGTGTTCTATCACAACTCAAGTCAACAAGTAAGAGTAGAGACAACGAATGACACATAGGAAACAATCGCCACAAAACATAAAATGTATAACTCACACAAGGTAGGCACGCCACTACACAAATATCATCAATAACAATGCCCCCAGGCCATCACAAGTCATCACAAATCATCCCCCGACATAGACCACCTTGTCTCGCCACGTGCGCAACAATAA